CATCAGATCCCATGGACTTGTGCATCTTCAGGTTATTTAGATGGTCTTGAACCTGATCTTCACTTACAGCAGGCAGATCTTCCTTTTTGTCCTAATTATTGTAGGGATTCTCCTTCATGATCTTTTTAACTTTCCTGTCCTGTTGACTTAATTCCTGGACTTCTCAATGAACTCTTTATAATGCATACGCATACAAGTTCATAACAAAAATACCTTGTTGGATGTTAATGTGACTCTAAGATGCCTTTTCATACCTGCTTTCTACTGATTGTTTTAAAATTGAGCTGTGCACTCTCCTAACTGCTTTCTAAATCTGCAGATTACAGTGACAGCATTAGTAATTAGTGTCTGAAGTGACTGGTTTAGGTGTGGAAAAAACACTTGAATATGAAGACTTCAGTTTGTCCTGTGGTATAATGTTTTCTGAAAAGCAATTAGCTGCAACTAACTAACTGTGTGGTCTAATTTGAAAGAACCTTCCATTATATATATTTTTGAACCCTTTTCTTTACCGAGGTCGTAAGGCTAATGCGTTGCAGTGAATAAGGTCTGGAGTGTCTGCTGCATTTTCTCAGAATTCGTAGCTGTTGTGCACAATTTGGAGTTTGAACTTTCCCTGACAGCTTTCCAGTTAATTGTTTCATTTTCTTTTCTTCACGTCTGGTCACTTATGAGCTTTATTAGTTAGATAGCAATACATGTGCCTGCAGGAAGATTCTTTTATTTGGTGTGAGCAGTTTAACAGTGAGGGTATATTAGAAAATGTCATCTAAGTGTAAATGAAAGCATTCTCATATGAAAGATTAAGAAAAGATTACATTGCAGCTGTATTTATTCTGCTAGGAAAGCTGTTCTTTGCTTTCAAATTGGTTTAATATTTGTCCATTAAAATAACTACTTAATGAGTACTGGTTACATATTTTAGATATTTTTATAGCTATTTAACTTGTCTTCCTACACTGTTCTGGGTCACAAGTTGAAAGGAAAATCTGCAGAGTATATGCTAAGGCAGCTGAAAGCAAAACTGTAGTAGGAATAACATTATGAAGTCTGAAATATGACATTTTCTACTTTAAGTGATATGAATTTTTCCTTAATTCTGCCTCAGAATAGCTTTTTTTCTTTCTGGCAATTTTTTATAGAAAAATATCCTTTTCTGTGATAGCACTTGTTGGATGGCAGCCAGTCAAACTGGGGAGGCTTTTCCACTCGCCTTCTTCCGTTTCCTGAAACCTGCTGCTCTCTGTTTCAGAATCAGAGTAGAAATGCAAGTGTCTTGATTTTTAAATGTTAAATGGAAACACATAACCTTTTTTTTGTTTGTTTGTTTTGTTTTTCTGCTCAACTGAGATTGAACATCAAGAAATTGTTTGGATGTTTTGAACCTCTAGGTTTTGAGAAACTCAATAGGGGCCATAAGGTCAGAGTATAAGGCAAGATGTACAGCAACGATGTGAAAAGTTTCAAGGTGAGAAAACTGATGTGCAAGTCACAGAATCACAGTGTTTGGAGATTATCCACCTGTGGAGATGATCACAGCCTAACTGAGCACAGTGTCATAGAATGTTTGGGGCTGGAATTGACCTTGAAAGGTTATCTCACTCCACCCCACGCTGCCATGGGTAGGGATACCTTTGCTTGATCAGCATGGACCTGGGCAATCTGCTGTAGCTGGCCTAGCTTGAGCAGCTGGGGCTAGACCAGGTGATCTCCTATAGGCTCTAATTTTTCAGTGAATGGCAAGTGATAGGTAAAACATGGCTGACAGTGTGCTCTTTAATGGGCCATATCTGCTGATCTGTACCAAGCAGGTGTGACCCTGCTTCTTTGGATGCCTTGGAAACAATTTTTCATGTTTCAAACAAGATTTCTCTGCAGGTCCTGTATAAAATCAGCTTTCAGAAAGAGTTGGACCGGCCAACTGTTGGAAGGCCAACAGGCATCCTGGGCTATGTTGAAAGAGTGGTGGCCAGCAGGGCAAGAGAGGTGATTGTCCTCCTATACTTTGCCCTCATGAGGACCTACCTGCAATACTGCATCCAGGCCTTGGGCCCCCAGCACAGGAATGATGTGTAGCTGTTAGAGCAAGTCCAGAGGAGGGCTAGAAGATGACTGAAGCACTTCTCCTGTGAAAAAAGGCTGAGGGAGATGGGCTTGTTCAGCTTGGAAGAGATGAAACTCTGGGGAGACCTCATTGTGGCCTTCCAGTACTTGAGGGGAACTTACAAGCAGGAGGGGATCGGCTTTTTATGCAATCTGATAGTGATAGCACCAGGGGGAATGGCTTTAAACTAAAAGAGAGATTTAGATTAGATGTCAGGGGGAAATTTTTTACTCAGAGGGTAGTGAGGACTGGCAGCTGTGGGCACCCCATCCCTGGAGCACTCAGGGCTGGGTTGGAGGGGGCCTGGGCCAGCCAGCCCACTGCAGGGGTTGGGGCTGGTGGGCTTTAGGGTCTCTTCCAACCCAAACCATTCTGTGGTTCTAGGATTCTATGTAGTGTTACAACACGATGACACTTGTTTTTTTTTGTGTGTGTGTGTTGTTTGAGGCTGTATATCTATGAAAATGCCCCTCAGCTGGTCAGCTTGAAGAAGCGTCCCAGTTTTTGATGCATGGTATTTTTTTCTAACTGGTTGTGTGAGGCACTGAGGTACTGTTATGCCATCAGCTAACACAACCTCTAGGTGGAAAAAGATCACAATATGAGGAGAATTTTGTTGTAATCACTTTGACCTTAAACAAGATGTGCAATGAGAGGGAAAAAAAAGTAGCCTTTCTGTAGGGCATATTTTGGTTTTGGTTGTGCACGTCTTTCTAACTACTTACCAATAAAATCCACGTACAGACCATCCCAACATAACCTCTTAAAGTAGCATCACTGAATGATTATCTAATTCAGAGGTAGCCTTGTTGGGAATACGTGTTGAGGCTGAGGGAGCTGGGTTTGTTAAGCCTGGAGAAAAGAAGGCTGCAGGGTGACCTAATTGTATTTTCAGTTTTTCAGTACCTAAAGGGAGCCTACAAACAGGAGGGGAATCAACTCTTTGAAAAGGTAGATAACAGCAGGACAAGGTGAAATGGTTTTAAGTTGAGGGAGGGAAGATTTAGGTTAGATATCAGGGAGAAGTTCTTTACAGAGAGAGTGGTGAGGTGCTGGAACAGGCTGCCCAGACAGGTTGAGGATGCTCCGTCCCTGGAGGTGTTCAAGGCCAGGTTGGATGAGGCCCTGGGCAACCTGGTCTAGTATTAAATGTGGAGGTTGGTGGCTCTGCATGTGGCAGGGGGGTTGGAGATTCATGATCCTTGAGGTCCCTTTCAACCCTGGTCATTCTGTGGTTCTGTGTTATTTTTTAAAACTTTTAATGTCATCCATGTTTGCACGCCATGGGGAAAGTGAGTGATCGACTTCCAGTAGCCTCCAAGAAAGAAGTATAAGGTTGGATTTTTTTTGGTCCCTCAAAAGAGAGAAACACAATATTTTTCTTCCTTGTACATATACATGTTGCAAGACCCAGTTCTGTTTCCATACCCACAAGCTGCTTGTTGGAGGAACGTGGTCTCCCATGTCATTCCTATTGCTCTGAGTTCAATCACTTCTTGGTGGTGTGTTAGAGGCATTGTGGCCTTTTAGCAGGGATTGCTCAGAGTAGAACAAAATATGAATGGTATCTAAAAACCCCAAACATACAAAAAGTGATACCCTCCAGAGATACCAGATGTCTCTGGTAAATGAATTGCGGGACTCAGTGATTGCTGGAAGCATGTTTAGGCTGCGCTAGGGAACTGCTTGGAGCTCATTCTGCTGCCCAGCCTTTCCTAGCTCTCTGTGGCTGTTGGCTTCGTTCTGAGAAAGCAAATGTACTCCTCCACTTTCCTGTAAAGGCCTTTCTCTTGTTTGTGTGCTGTCTCCATCACTTTAATTGTAATTAGTTGAAACACTACTGTGAAAGACACAAGGGGAATATCCCTAATGGTGCAGTGTGTTAGAAAATATACTTCTGTATTACAAAGGGCTGTTTGGATGCTCTTCTCCTTGGTGTATTCTACTGCAATTTGGAAAAAAGATTAAATACATTTTTAATTTCTTTTTTCTTTGGTGACACTTCAATGTGTTTTTGTGTTGTGTGTGGATTGCTCTGTCAGTTGCAGGAGGCACTGGTGTGTCCCAGGAGCTTTGCCTCAGGAACCAGGCTCTTGTGCAGAGAAGCTGTTGCAAACATGCACTGTAATAAAATATTTTCTGAGCACCAGAATATCTTATTAACCAATCTGTATTCCTCACTGGGGCTCTGGGAGGCCCCAGCAGCTCTGTCAGCTCGCCTTCAGGGGGAAGGATGGGCTGGAGGAGGCAGTTGCTCAGCTTCAGCAGCAATGTGGATTTGTGCATGCTGTGCTAGTGGGTTTTTCTTTTTTCTTTCTTTTTTTTTTTTTTTCAACAAAGATTTAAAAAAGTACCATTGCAGGATGTCATGTTGGTTCTTCTAATGAAATAGGGAAACAAATTTCTGTGGATTCTGTGGAAGTGACTGTGGATTTCTAGGTGGATGTGGACCACTGAAACATGAGCTGTGCCCTTCTCTGCTCTTTATATATCACTGAACTTCTGCTCTTTGGCTTGTGGTTGTATGCACATGGTAGTCTTCCCATGGGCATGTCTCTTGTACAAGTGGCTCATCTAGAGCCAGGGCTTGATTCATAGGAGATACTACTGGTATTAAGAGAGAATAAAAGGTGGCTGTGCTTTAGCCTCAGTCTTTGCCTACTGATGGTATTAGAGCTTCTAGTGCATTACAGGGTAGTTTTAAACTCCAGAGAAGTCAAGAAAGAATTAATTCTACATAACAATAATAAAATTATATAATACTAGTAGTAATAATAACAATGATGCTTAGCTTTGTGTTTTCTTCAAGGTGAAAATCATGCCATAGCTCTATAAAAATAAAAAGAATGTAGTATCTCTTTCAGTTTCCTAAATGTAATTTAATTTATTCTTGTAGGTGTAGCATCCATGACAGTGCCTGTGTACATCGCAGAAGTTGCTCCGCCGCACTTAAGAGGCAGATTAGTCACCATTAACACCCTGTTCATCACTGGAGGGCAGTTTTTTGCAAGCGTCGTGGATGGACTGTTCAGCTACCTCGTGAAGGATGGATGGAGGTATGTGAGCCTTCAGTGCTAAAAGCAAAACGTGGTTATGGTTTGAGCAAGGCTAGGTACATGTGTGAAATAACTTTTAGTGGCTGACAGCTATCGCCATAGAGTTTACATATAAAATGGTAGATCTGCATTCTGAAGTGAAGTTTTAATAACTCTTGCCAAATGATATACATAAAGCTTTCACTCAGTATCACAGAATGTTTTCGTTTTCTGATTTCACTAAACTTTAAAATGGATGAGCAATGCATTGCATATGATGCATATGCATCAACAAGCTTGAACTATCATCATGATGTTTATAAAAGTACCTTTTGCCTTTTGCATTTAGAATAATTACATGCTGATTTTTCAAAAGGCGCATTTCCCGTAGCTGATACTACATGCACAGAATAGAGGTGTATATTGAATGGATTTAATTTGAGCAGTAGTAATCTAATCAGAATTGAAGTTACAGGTATTGTAGTATAACTTTCAACTATAAACTTTTGATTATGTGGAATTTATGAATCTCTTTTACTCTACTTTCTGAATAATTTGTTCTTTCTGTAGACATTGCTAAGAGTTTATGGACTGCACCTGCCTTCTTTGTGGTGATGTGTCATTTGAGAGAGTTCAGACGTTTCTGGAGCTCAGCAATTTAGTTGCAGTGCTGATGTGAAAAAATTATTAACAGAAATGTGTAGGAGGAGTAACTTATACCGCACATTCCAGCTTTTGGAAACTTGTGCTTATTACGTTTGCTTTTTTATCGAAACTCTTGTGGGAAAAGGGTGTGTGCTGTTGTAGGGTCTTCGATTTCTGTTGCTACAGCCTGGAAGCTTTTTGATATTTGAAAATCCTAACATGAAATATTTTCGCTCCCTATCTCCCCCAAAAAGTTTGCAATATAAATATTATTACATTCACTGACTTTCAATGGAATTGAGTAAGGATAAGTTTTAAGCTAGTAACAATTCATATGGAACATATGTAGAGGTATTTAGAGGCTGATCTTTCTTTAATATGTAAAAAAATATGCATTAAAATAAGAAGTTAATGTTTTAAAGGTGAATCGCTTCCTTTGCCTTTTAGGTAAAAAGATGTCACATTCTGACCTTAAGAAAAAAAATGACATCATGCTGATTTTATTTAATACAGTCGATCCTAGCTCTGCTTTTTGCTTTCTAGCCTAAATGGAAATAGCATTTCACATTTTCACATTTTCATGAATCTTTTGATATCCTAGTCATTGCAAAAGCAGCTGCATGCTCCCTCAGGCTGTGCCTCCAGTTATAGAGGACAGAGAAATGACTTCACTGAAAGAAAAATTTAGGGGATTGCTAATCCCTTTCTGCAGTTAATGAAATATGTTCAATTTTTAGAAAAGGTAATGGTATGCAGTAATGCCTGGCTAGGTAAAATAAATGGAAGTATTTGACAACCAATACAGATTATCCAGTAGCTACGTTATTAATTTAAATTGACTATTAGCCTAAGTAATTTGCTAATGTAAAAGCTCCTTATGCATGGGACTGGGTGGTGAGGAATGGACAGCAAAGGTATTTATTTAGAAATGGAGCTCTGAGTCACCATTAGTGTTTCAGGTGTTTGTGCACTTTCTTTTTAGGCAGATATTTTGATTTCAGTTTACTTTAGAGGTTAGAGATTTTGCTGGGAAAAGCATTTGTGAATATAAATATGTTTGGGTTTTTTGGTTCTTTCGTTGTTGTTGTTGTTGTCTTTTTGCGTCAGTGGGCTGATGCTTACAAGCTAAGGATGTGTTTGTAATCTGTACGTAAATACTACCATATAAGAAGAAAAATATTGCTAAAAAAATATCCAACAAGCCTTGATCTTATTTGAGCTGTATTTTTGTGTAATTGTTCAGATAAATACAAATGATGAGCCAGCAATGCGCCCTCGCAGCCCAGAAAGCCAACTGTATCCTGGGCTGCATGAAAAGCAGCATGGCCAGCAGGGTGAGGGAGGTGATTCTGCCCCTCTGACAACAATGATCATCTAGTTTCAAACCCCCTGCTATGTGCAGGTCGCCAAACACCAGACCAGGCTGCCCAGAGCCACATCCAGCCTGGCCTTGAATGCCTCCAGGGATGGGGCATCCACAGCCTCCTTGGGCAACCTGTTCCAGTGCGTCACCACCCTCTGTGAAAAACTTCCTCCTAATATCTACCTAAATCTCCCTTGTCTCAGTTTAAGACCGTTTCCCCTTGTTCTGTCACTATCCACCATAGCAAACAGTCATTAACACATTGTGTGAGTATAACACAAGGTGTGTAAAAGATCCTTTGAACCATATTTTACTCCCTTAGAGTCTATCTGGCCAGTGATGCCAATGAAGACCATAGTCCTTCTCACTGTGATGCTCCTCACTCTTGTTGTTTTGTACTGGTTTCTTCCATGTGTGTGTCTGTCCATGGCTGTTCAATGCCATCACATGGCCTGATCAAATTCTTGATCAAACATTGGAACAGGCTGCTCAGGGAAGCAGTGAACTCGCCGTCCCTGGAGGCTTTCAAAAAAAGGATAGATGTGGTGGTACTCAGGGATGTGGGTTAGTAGGCACGGTGGTGAGGGGCTGATGGCTGGGTTAAGTCATCTTAGTGGTCTTTTCTAACCTGAATGATTCTACAACTCTGGATTTTCATGAAGAAAAGACATAGTTGCATACAAGACCAGTGCAACAGAGAAGGATGTGTGGGGCAGAAATAGGCTATGCTAATGCTGAGGTATCCAAGGAAGTGCTGGAGTGGTGGGTTTGGAGTTGCATACTTCTCTGTCCTCAGCTCGCTGGCTGCAACCTAAGACTGAGCAGAACAGAGTACAGATGGGCCCTCCCTTGGAAAGAGTGTCCAGCATGCACCTGGGGAGAGCTCAGAGACGTTTGCTCCTGAATCACTGCATATAAGAAGGAGAATTACAGCAATTATTGTAGCTCTCAGTGATCAAGTGACTGTGTACTAGAAAGAAAAAAAAACAAACAGGAACTTTAATTCTGTTTATTCTTGGAAATGCTGGATATTAAATTAAAAATAAGCAAAAGAAAACAAACGTTGAATCTGACAAGTTAGTTTTATACAACACTACTCATTCATTTTAATGGTGTTGCAGCAGTATGTCTCAGAAGAAGTGTTACCACTGATATATTAAATTTTTAAATATATTAAATTTTCTGCTCGATTTTTTCAGGTCTGCTAGACATCTGACTTCAAAAGCAAAATCTTATTCTCTGTATAGGAAAGAACTGTATTAGATTTCTGAAAGCTGGCTCACAGCACGTAATGTCCAAAATTACCTGCTTTTACTAAATTGGTTCTATCAAAGTTGCTTGGTCTGAAAATTGCAAGAGCTCATGAACTTAGAGTGGACGTATGCCCCTAAGTGAATATTGTCCTTCTGGCCTGCGCCTTGTACTCTGCTTTGACCAGAAACATGGCAGTTGGAAACTACCTTTAGTGACCAAACACTTTCTTTTCTATCTTCTCTGTGATAAACAACCCAACAGTGTTCAGTGGTAGATTAACAGCCTAGATCTTGCTTTTTTTTTTTTTTTTTTCTTCTTTTTTTTTTCTCCTCCTAAAATAATTGCAGGTATGCAGCTGCTCAGTTCTGGAAATTCTGCTGCATTTAAGGGATGGAAGGGTTTTGGAGGAATAGACTTGGGTCATATGAGTACCAAGGACTAAATCTGTATACTTAGATGTGCTAAAAGAATTCTTTTGCTTGCAGTTTGTCAGGGCTTTTAATTTCTACGTCTTTGGGCTACTCTTCATTTGAAATAGAAGAGGCTCTCTAAATACCACACTAATCACAGATATTGAATACACTATTTGTTGAGCTTCAGCAGTGTATATATTGATGTGATTCTTCCGAAATACTGTTTGTGGAGAAGGAGGAGCTTGGAAAGAAATGAGGACACAGATGAATGAGACCATTAGTGAATGAGGAATGAGAACATTAGTGACACTTGTTAGATATGCTGGCTAAAGTCTGCTCAGCAATTAATCCTTCCACAATGTTTGCATTTTGAATTTATTTTCTTCCTGCTTTCCTTTTTTTTTTTTTTTTTTGACTAAAGATGAGCTATACCATTCTGAAAATGAGAGGCTTGTTTGCAATTTTATTTCTAGACCAAGTTGTAATTATATAACCTTTGGACAATATTGCCAGTTTAAGGAGGAACTTGAGAGCTCAGCTAGGGGATGGGAGGACTGGCCTGCATGCACCTTGTCCAGGGGTGGCCAACTTCTTTCCTTCACCTTTTGTATGTTGTACTTTTTTTCCGTTCTCCATTTTTCTGCCCTGTTGATTGTGAGTCTTTTTCCATTTTCACTGGAAATGCATTTGGACTTGTCAAATACTTGTGGTTTGTTGCCCTGAAATGAGGTTTCTATTAACAATCTTGCTCTCTTTCATACTCTATTAGCAATCTCATTGCATAGCCAACTTTATAAAAACATCCATGCGAGAGAATTCAGAACCATCAGTGAGAAAGAGTGCACAGTGAGAGAGGCTAGAGGAAAGATTTGCTCATCTCCCTACTTTCCTGACTTCAAGGTGTGAACCTATTTAGGAACACAGAGTACCCTGATATTCAGGGTGAAGACTTTTCTGGAGGTGGTGGAACAGTCATAACCACTGATGTGAAGCCTATGTTGTTTGCAGTGATGTATGGATGATGCCAACATCATCTAAAGTCTTTAACAGAAGCCAAAATAATCTTTCAAGCACAAACAATTTATCAGATGTAGGGAAAAAAAGTCAGATTTAAAAAGCAGAATAACATTATGTTCTATTCTGTAATTCTTGTTTTTAGTGTTTTATTGAAGGAAATAAGAATGTGGAGTGTGAGAATCAGAACCACCTATGGCAGATGGTGATATGCTTATCTTCCGTGGCCTTTGGCCTCACTTCATTTGGAGCAAGTCCTGTTGTGTGTGAGCGCTGTACAGGTGGCAATGCTGGTGGCTGCAGGGGCAGCTCTCCTGCAGCAGTAATCCTGGCATTAATGCTGTGTACAGTGAAATCCCTCTGTGCACTTAAAATGCTGTTTTGATTTAAAACAACGCTGCATCTGGCTGAACATTTAAGAGCAGACTATCTGAAAGATCTAGTGTAAATGGATGCAGTGCTGATTAAATGAACTTTTTCCAGTGTTTCTTTCTACAGTCAGAAACAGCCATTTCCTTATACAAGAGGTTTATTCCCTGGCCACGTGTGACTGCGTACATGTACTTGCTGACCAAATTAAGCAATTATGGTTGGCTGCTTTTGGTTTATCTTTTTTATTATGTCTGTAAAACAACGAGCAGGATTTCAGCCTCATCGTTGTCATCAGTAGTACCCATCTGTTCTGTACACCTTTGCTTTTTTTTCCTGTTAATTCTTTTCTTATATCTTCACAGTAGGGGTATCAGTTTCCAAACCACTGGAATGTTTCAGTGTTCACTGAGTCTGAGTTAGTGTCCTCTCAACGAGCAACTGTTGAGTCAGTGACAGCAGAATATTCAGAACATCCTGAGGTATACTGGAATAGAAAGCAAAGGTCTTTTTTCTATGGTACTTCCAGAGTAGGGTTCTTGCCTGATTAATTTCTGGCAGTAATGAATACAAAGGAACAAGGTTTGGTTTGTAAATTACAGCCTGGGTTGCTGTAAGTGTGTCTTCTCACAGCACACTCTTGTAGGCAAATACAAGAAATTTGTTTATTTCTTTATTTCCAGGTACATGTTGGGGCTGTCAGCTGTGCCAGCAGTTATACAGTTTTTTGGCTTCCTGTTTCTCCCTGAAAGCCCCCGCTGGCTGATTCAGAAAGGCCAGACTCAGAGAGCAAGGAGGATTCTGTCTCAGATGCGTGGCAACCAGGCAATCGATGAGGAGTATGACAGTATCAAAAACAACATTGAAGAAGAAGAAAAAGAAGTTGGAGCAGGTATGCTGTGAATGCTTGTTGGCATCTCTGTCAATCATTGGAGAGATGAAATAAGAAGAAATTTTCACGTCATAGCCTATGGGAGCCTGATGATTTGCTGTTCTTGGTAGTTTTGCTGTTTAATATACTTCATGTACTGGTAGTTTCAGAGTTGAATAGATGTTTCTGTGATACTACAGTTTTAAATTTAATTCTGGTTTCTTCAATGAGGAAGAAGTAAAGTTCTGTAAGATTACAAGTTATGCAAGCTAGAGTTACATAAGAATTGCTCAAAAAATTGCCCATTTTAAGAATGCACATCTTGAAGAGTGGAAATAAAATAGTTTGGTTTCTCTCTTCAAAGAAAAAGATATAACAACCATTAAGGTCAGAAGGCATTTTGCATGCATGCGTTATCCAGAGTCTATATTGTGGCTGATCATAATTCCAGCTAAGCAGTTTTGGAAAGATTTACAAAATAATTTTTCAGTAAGGGCAGTTTCTGAAGCCTTCTTAGTCTGCCCAAGAGAATGCAGCATCTTAAATACTTTTATACTGGTTTTGTACCCTTGTTCTATAATTTCTCAAAACTTTGTGTTTACATAGGCAGGTATTATAAAGCAAGATTACCATTCCATTGACTATCTTCTTGTCTACTAAATAATTTTTCTTAGATTTGTGCTGAAGTATGATAGGAATCTTAATTAAGTCTCTAAAGATTCACCCTAGTTCTTGCTTCTTTAAATGTAGTTAGTATGGTACTATAACTTCTCACAGAATGTGGGAAGAAAAATGCAATTTATTTTACAGCTGTACATACTGAGATCCAATGTCTGATAGTATCCAATCTCATTGCCTCCTTGAGTTTTACTTTGAAGCTTACAATAGAAGACTGGGTATCTTGAAGTTACTGCATTCAAAACGTTCAAATGTTCATCACTGATTTGTAGTAGGGCTGGATTTGTTTCTTCCATTATTTTTTCAGGCTTTTGAACACTTTTGTTTTTTTCTTTAGCAGTGGAAAGAAAAGTTGTTTGAGTTTATCTGACAAAAACCTGCAGTGGGCATTTTTAGAACAGCTTGGATTTTGAGTCTTGTACCAAGGTTCTCAATCCTAATTAGTCATTGGACTGTTTGATTTCATGGAGGGCCACTTAATGTCTGGTATTAATGTTTATCTGCTTTGTAGAAATGAAAGAAGCAGGTGTTTGGCTGGTTTGCTTCCCTATTTTCAGTCATTGGGCTGTACAGCACAACCTTGTTTCTCTCTTTTAAATCATTTTTATGCTGCTGCTTTGCAGTTTATAAATTTGTTGTAGTAAGATTGTGGTAGGACTGACTCCAACCTGGTCCTTTTTGCAGCTGTATCTTAGACTGGCAGACCAGTTACGGAGCTTCCTGAGTTTCTTGACTTTTTTTTATTTATTTATGTTTTTCCCAAAGAAAAAATAATTGTCTTGCTGGAGTTTAGTCAAGCATGTTCCCATAGAAAAGCATGCTTACATGGAAACTGGCATTTTCCTCTTGGATAATCAACAGCTTCAGAGCTGCCACCAAATGGCGCAGTGAGGGTAGTTCTGAATACCTGCTTACCCCCTTGTTGTAAATACTTACAAACAGGCATCGCATACCCATGGTCAATTTAGAGTTTGATTGCAACTTAGCTGTAATTGCTCTTATCCCATTTAACTCGGACTCCTGGTTGTTCTAAAAACATTTGTTGTGTGTCAGCATCAAAATGTGCTTATTTTGTTACTCTTCTGGGACTTATAGGTGGTTCTTAAAATTAATGTTGAAATATAATTATCTTCATTTCTTGAGGAGTTGTCTAGATATTCAGAATTGAATGTGGAATGCATGGTATGAGAGCCAACTTCCTGTTCGTATGTGGAATTCAACCAAAGGCAACTTTGCAAATCAAAAATCATCCCGCTTATTTTTAGGTAATTGTGCCATTTCCTTTTTTGGCATTTCCTTTCTTGAAAAAGAACAGGTGTTCTTCTTCATTAACTGATACATAAACATCTTTGCCAGTTCTTCAGGGCCTCATTTTCTAAGTGAGAATAAACTTATATCTGACTCTACAAGGGAGTAACAGGGTGCAGCTGGAACATATTCTCTTAGTCCCACACTAAAATCTGCCTTTTGTAACTGTTTCATCAGCTATTCTTGTCACTGAACTAATGAATCACAGGAGATCTTCATCTGTGTTACTTCAACTGCTTTTAAAAGGGTTTAATATTAACGTCTATCATAAAACCAGAGAGGTTCATTGCAGATTCCATATGGTTATCAAGCAGCTTCTATCTTGAAAGCAATAAAAATGCCTTGAGCAGCAACTTCTGTTTCAGAAGTCTCTTGTACTCGTGTGGGATACCTGTTGGGTGAATGATTCACAGCTCTTTATCCTTTCCAATACATTCAACCAGATCACCACAGCTGAGATTTAGCATCTTCAGATTGTGACAAACACTTCCCTCTTTAGTGATTATACAGCTGACAATTTTCTAGCAGCAGTGAATACGACTTTTGCATGCTCTGTTCTGTACCCCTAAAGCAACCTGTGGTGTTGTAAAATCCATGACTGTTTTCTGCACCACAGCTCATGTTTTGAGAACAGAGGAGGAAGGCACTGCATTTGCAGTAATGTCACAAAACCAATTAGGTCAAGTCCAGCTCAACAGCACCTCTTAACATCATCGTCTCAGATGACAGGGTTGTAGTGCGAAGAGATCTGGTGATAGGAGTATCCAGGTTACAGGGGGAGACCTTAGAAAGGAGAGAGCTCCCTGAGATTGGGGGAAAACAGTAGTTTTTAAGTGGTATGTGCCATTCCCCTTTAAATAGGCTCTAGATTTTGCAAATTCCCCACTGCTTGGCTCATGAAGTCCTAAGGAGAGGGAAGAGGGTGGAAAACAGATAGAAGCAGTTAGATCAAAGCATCAATGGCAGGGTTGACTCTTGCCTCCCGTTAGCTAAACATTGCTGCTGAGGTTCTGTGCTGCATGTTAGTGAAGAACTGGCAATCTGATCGTAGCGTTGCATGTAAGCACTGCTACGGTGACTTAAATATACAGGTACAGATGAAGAACCTGTGCTGCTAAGTGAATTAGAGTGGGATTTGTAATCTTCTTGAGCAGGCATTTTAGAGTGAATTTACAGTAACAGAAGAGCTACATACCTTTGTGAAAGTTTTATGGACTGCCACTGTAGTGGTAAATTCAAACCAGAAATTATGCTGCTGTTCAATAGCGAAGTTGGGGATTGATAGTTAATTTCCTAAATATTTAACAGATCTCCAGTATTCAAAGAAAAACATAGGAAAGTGTGATTTTTTTAAATTTCGGATGAAAGTACCTACAAGTTGCGTGGCTTTCCCACATGCTCCTCTTGTACCAGTATTGAGCTATGGCATACCAGGATACCCCACATTACACACAAAATTAGTGGTGGTGAATGTTGTACTAACACAGTGTCTGACAAAATAAATATAATTTGTATTAAGGTTAGACATTTATGTCTGTGTAAATAAAGTACGTATAGGCATGGATCGTAATTATACCAGGAGAGCAGTGTAATCTCCCCCAGTCCCATTTATTCCATGTTTTTCTGACCTCTGAGTTACTTTTGAGACTCTTGAACCTCTACACTATAACCTGGGATAGACATTTTATAGTATGCTGCTGTGCACATATATGTGTCAATTTCTGATCATGTTTTTATTTGCACGTTATGCTTTGTAATTCTGGCCATGTAAAAAGTGTGCTTGGCTTAGCAGTGCATGGAACCACAATGCTTCTGTTGAAGTACACTGAGTGATATAGAAAATGTGTAATTGCACTGTGGGATAATTAAACCGACCTTTTTGTGCCTGTACCAGAGTGTTTTGTAATGGCTGTTGCTTCTGGTTGAGGTATTTTCTTGTATTTCCAGTAATTCTTTGTTAAAAAAAGAAATAGTTAGACTAAGGTTTTTCTTTGAGAACAACCTATCCATACTATTCTTTAAATCCTGTAAGCTTCAGTCACTTTCAGCTTCACTCTCTTTCTTTTTTTGCTGAATTTACCATCTGATCTGTGAGTCAGTCTACTCTTTCAGGTTTTGTATTTCCCTGCAGGAGATGAATGTGTTATGATTTAAAAGAAAAATCACCTCATTACCATTAGTTTTCAGCTTCTAACTTTACCAATTAACTGTCAGTTAAAATAGGATGTTGTGAGGGAAGGTAGCCTTCCCGGCTACAGTATATTTATATTTCTTGCAACTTTTCTGCTTAAGGAATATTTTAACTTGTCAGTATTTCTGCCTATGGCTTTGGCTGCAGCCATTTGACATACATCTCCCTAGGGAGATGCTGGAAGCTTTCAGTACTTTCATTATTAATCATAAACTACCCCTGCTTCTGGGAGTCCTTCTTATCCCGTACAATTGCCTGACATGCCTGGAATTCAGAAAGATACAGACATGCTTATTATTGGACATCAGCTAGAATCTTATTTAATGCAAGTTGGTAGTACTGTTATGCTGCAGAAGGGCTGTGCAAAACTCTGAACCATTTCAGTTGTAGGCGCTTAGTCCATGTTTAGAATGAATCCCTCTGTCATGAGATTGAGTGGCTGCTGTTACCTGTAACCCAGAAACTGGGTTAAAGCCTTTCAGGCAAAAGAAAAGAGATGCACTAAAGATTTGTCCAAAAAAACCCCAAAGTCCATATGATTGCAAGCTTGAAATTCTTATTTGTGACAATACCAATGTGAGGGACTTTGCAAAACCAAGTCAGTTTTGCTTTTGGTTTTGTGAGAGAGTACAGCCAACACATGAGGTATCTGAAGAGATGTCACTGTTCCATTCGCATATTTTAACTATTTAAGCTGTAGAATTATTTCCTGTCTCCTAAGAACAAAAATTCTTCCTGTGCAGTGACATATCTTCACTGGAATTTATTTTGAATTGAAGCCATGAAAAAAGAGCACCTCTGGTTAATTTAAAATGTATACAATGCAATCAAATATAACATAGAG